TCATTGTTCAACGTCTGCCAGTGGGTTTAGGGCAACAAGCAACAAATTCTCTTAGAAGGGCTAAGTCGTCATCTGCTGTAAACCTAAGCCTCTTTACAGGTTCTTTAATATTGGAAGAGGTGGAATCCATATTTTGGGCCATATTTATTTAATTAAAACTAATCCCAGCTACTTAAATATGAAATTACTAATTCAAAACAATTCAAACATAACCTAAAATAAAAGATCTCGCCGGCCGGCCCCGGTTGTCAAATACCCGCACATGCCCATTTAAGCAATTTTTAAACGTTATCAGAGGTTATTTGGAAAGAGCGCTTGGTGTAATTGATCCGCAAATTACGTCAGGCGGTAACGTTATTAGCGGGTGTTGCGTTAAAAATTGACTCGCGCATATCGTAACCATGATAAGGTACGCGCAAATACTGCATACCGCTATTCGATTTTCCGATATCTCTCTAATAACTGTGCCGGTCAGGCGATGTGCACAATTTTAGAGGCCATACGTGGGCGTGCTATGTGCGCAAACTAGTAACCTAACAGTGCCCGATTCCGAAAATTGGAACCACGAAAAACAAAGTTTATAATCTTTATAATATGTGATACTAGTAAGAAAATCGCTAATTGGTAATGCAAGAAAATCAATATTAACGTTTAAAAAAAGATACTTAAATTGAATTCTGATTGTCTTGACTTGAGAGTAATCATATTGATATAATAAGTCATTTTACTGACTTAGCTTGGAGATCATCATGATTTAAGTCAAAAATATAGACTTAAGTCATAAAAACGACTTAAATAACGTTGTATTGATTTAAGTCTTTACAAAAATGACTTGAAATAAAATTATTTAAGTCAAAAGATTTAAGGCTTAAATCATTTTAACTTTATGTTGAATTTGACTGAAGACTTAATAAGTCTTTTTAAAACTGACTTGTTGCAGCTCTGACTCCTAGACATGTAAACACCAATCCCAAGACTTCGAATATAAAAAAAAGACAAAAATGTTTTTCTTTCAATTTCATTTCTTTTATTTCAATAATTAAAATATAGTTTACAACAAGGATAACCGATTGCAAAAAAATATTACAAAAACAAAAAATGGAATCTATTCATCCACGAAATCAGTTAATAACATCATAACCATATGTTACAAAGTAAAATAAATTAATCTTTTAGAATAAAGTTACATAACGCCTTTTCTATAAATACAAGTATGACGGCCATACAATCATATAATTTTTCAAATGTACCGGGTATTTCAAAAATAAGCTAACAAGTCTTTTTAAGTAGTTTTCTTCATTTAGGAACATCTGAAATCGAGAGGTAAACCGCGAGACCAATGCGGTGTACAACCCCAAACCAATGCGAACCAATTGTGTAGACTAATGGTGCCGATTAAGTGACAATGCTAACAAATCGGGGAAATTGACCAATTTTGCAGAGCCAATGGAACCAATTAAGGGGAAATTGACAAATTTTGCAAAGCCAATGAAGCCAATTAAGAGGAAATTAGGGACCAATTATGAACTAATTATTAAAGCTAATGTAAAATTATGTTAGTAAAAACTACGCGCTATCGAGGTCCGAAATCTAGCCGAGTCGACGACAGGGTTGCCAGATTGGATCCTTAAACGCCATTTAGGATATTTTTAATGATTAGTTGACGTTAGCACAAGAGAAATAATTATCTATTGAAGTTATTTACAGTGGCGTGTATACGAAATAATGGTTTCCGTTAACTTACCGTTAATACCTTAAACTCGTAAGGTCCGTTTGACAAGAGCAAAAATTATGGCGAAAATCATTAGGTAATTATTTCAAAAATCTGGTCAATAAAATGTTTTGAGGTTAGGTTAGTTGTAGCGTACACAATTTTGGGTCGCGGTTTACCCCTCGTCTGAAATATATGAGTTATTATTAATTTAGTTATTTCATAAATTTAAGTTATAAAATTTGAAAACATTTTTAAAAAGCAAAATGTTATTATTAATTTTGAAAAAATGCTAGTTTTTCATTTTTAGCTTACTTTTGAAGAACACTGGTATAATATAATCAAAACCAATCAGTTTTAATCTGATTGAAGAAAATCAAAACCGATATTCAACAAAAAAAACTAACAGATTTAGACAAAATGAAAATTATAAACTAAACGACTTTTTTTGAAGGCGACATACTTCAGAACTATACAGGGAGATATAATAATAAGTCTTGAGATAATAAGTGAAGCAAAGCTCAGTTTTTAAACGGTATTATTCAAGGACAATAATAATTATATTGAATTTTCATCTATTAAGTCGTTACCATATCATTATTTTTTACTTTTAAATAGATAACATAGTCTAATATAAATCTTTACAAAATTCACATTCTAAACGTTATGAAGGATATATATATATTTCGAATGATCTAGGAAAAGTGACTTAAATATCATTTTTTATTAATAAGAAAAATTTTATTTTAATTCATTTATTTAGAATCTGTCTTTTATTTGGGAATACAATTTTTATGTCAATATAAATTACATATACAGGGTGTCCCAGGCTGAGCGTGCATTAGAAGTTTCTGGAGAAGTATAATATCTAGATCGGAGATTTTTTGCACATTATTGTTTAACAACGAGATCTATCGATTAAAAATATTTTCAATATGGCGGCACTTCCGGAAGTACCGGAAGTTGACAGCAACGTTCTCATTTCAAATGGGTAGCACCATTTTTTATTACATACCTAAATTATCTGTAAAATTTTATGAATTTTCGTATAAAACACTCTATATCTAACATTAACCGTTTTTGAGGAAAAAAATATTTAAAATTTTTAGAGGAAAAAAATATTTAAAATTTTTGGAGGAAAAAAACTCCCTGTCAAAAAAATCTGTATAGCTTAAACGACAAATTTAATGATTACTAAAGCCACTGTGGCATAAAGAAAAAACATGTGTCTATATATTTCAAAAATTAAATTGTTCGAATGTCATATAATATTAGCCATAGCTGTCATGGAATTGAGCGATTAAAAATTTTAAATATTTTTTTTCTCAAAAACGTTAACATTAGATACAGAGTATTTGATATCAAAATTCATAAAATTTTACAGAAAATTCAAGTATATAATAAAAAATGGGGCATCTACATTAAAAATAAGCATGGCAAAATGGCATCTACATTTAAAATAAGAAAGTTGTTGTCAACTTCCGGTATTTCCGGAAGTGCCGCCATATTGAAAATATTTTTAAGCGATAGATCACGTTGTGGAACCGTAAAGTGCATAAAATCTCCGATCTAAATATTGCAGTTCTCAAGAAACTTAAAATGCACTAATGCACGCTTAGCCTGGGACACCCTGTAGACCTTGGCCCAACAGAAATTCCTACAGATTTTCATTTCAAAGGCCACTGTGACGCCGATTCTTTCCGACCGCATGCTATATACATTAATATCTTGAAAAAAAAAAGAATTATTAGAAAAAAATAGCGGAGGACAAAATAAGAAGTACAATGAACAAGATAAATAAAGTTTATTTTTATCGTGTGATATTATTTTGTTACACGGTTAAATATCTTAATTAAAGCCTTAAAGAAAACAATTCTTAGGGAAAAAATAGAAAACAGATAGGTGTCACTTTTGTATTCGATTATCGATAAATATATACCTCATATGCATCACCGTAATATCCTAAAATCTAAGCTACATCGTTGAATCACCGTTTTGCGTTCTACTACTGCTCGAACCGGATTGGTCCATTTGGTTGCTACTAGAGGGCGCGGCCGAGGGCGATCCGAACAACGATCTGAGTACGTTTTGTACGCTGGCAACTGAAACAAACAGGACATTGGACAAACGTCGATATGTTTGTACCAATTTGTACAAATTGTATGTAACTTAATTGTGCATACAGGGTGGCCCAAACGTTCCGCAAGGCATAACGGCCAGGGTAATTTTATTTCAGAAAATTCAAAAACACGACAATTTTGTTTGTGAGGGGGACAACTTTTGCCCCCAAAATAATTGCAAAATATTCAACCCTCTAAGCGGGGGTGCCATCCCCCAATTTTTTTCAAATGGGACGGGGGGTCAAGTGGTAGGGCAGTGAAAAGGGCTTTCTATTCTCTATACTTTCGCGCTTCGTTTTTGAAAATCGGTCGTGTCATTGAGAAAATATGAAGGATTGAAATTTGAAAAGTTTATTTAAACATTTGTCAGAGTAAATGATAAGGATACATTCCTTCGACCAATTTGCTGTTTTTCTTATTATTTCTAGATGTTTATGCATTTTTTCACTTGCCACAAGGTTGCACGATCAGGTGCGGTGGTTGCTTTCTGTGACTTGTGCGTTGAAGTTCTTCTCAATATCGTTAAACTTTTTAACAATTATGGTGTACAGAAAAAGTGGAAATAATCGAACTTTATTTTAAAAATATTGAACGTGACAATCGGGTTGGGCAGATATTCAATGAACGCCATCCTGACAAACCCCTTTATGGCAAAATTGTTCGCGAGTCAGTAGCAAAATTTCGCGAAACTGGTTCCGTTATGAACAAAAAGAGGCAGAGGGAAAATCCTGTAGTAAATGAAGCTGTGGAGGAATTCGTATTGGGCCAAGTTGCCATGGATAGTACGCTGAGTACAAGAAAATTAGCCAATAAGACCGGCGTGAATCGTACAAGTGTCCAAAGGATATTAAAAAAGCACAAGTTCCACCCGTACCAAATTCAGTTGGTACAAGAACTCAACGAAGACGATTTTGATTGTCGCTTGCAATTTTGTGAAACTATGAGTGAACGAGTGGCGAATGATAATAATTTCCTATTTAATGTGTGTTTTTCGGATGAGTGTATTTTCTTTTTGAACGGTGTAGTTAATCGGCACAACTGTCGGTACTGGACTGAGGTCAACCCTAGGGTTTTTTAGGAGGTGCATACACAAAACCCTCAGAAGTTGAACGTGTGGGCTGGTATTTTTGGAAATTCTATTGTGGGTCAGTTTAACGATATTGAGAAGAACTTAAACGCACAAATCACAGAACAGCTATCTAGCAACTACCGCACCTGATCGCTCAACCTTGTGGGAAGTGAAAAAATGCGTAAACATCTAGAAATAATAATAAAAAACCTCAAATTGGTCGAAGGAATTTATGCTCTGATAAATGTTTAAATACTTTTCAAATTTCAATCCTTCATATTTTCTCAATGACTCGACCGATTTTCAAAAACGAGGCGGGAAAATATAGAGAATAGAAAGCTCTTTTCATTGCGGTGCCACTTGATCCCCCTTCCCATTTGAAAAAAGTTGGGGGATGACAGCCCCGCTTAGAGGGTTGAAGATTTTGCAATCATTTTTGGGGCAAATGTTGTCCCCCTGACAAAAAAAAAAGTGTTTTTGAATTTTTTGAAAAAAAAATACCATGGCCGTTATGCCTTGCGGAACGTTTTCGATGGGCCACCCTGTATAGAAAATACCCTAGAAAGTTTGCGATCTCACAATGCCACACAATATACTCTTACTTTTGGATCGGTATTTACATGTGTGAAAGTCAATCGCTTAGGGCCCTTATGAAGTCGGAGTGTGAAAAATGCGACGGTATGCTGTTGCAGCGTTGCCACATTCTCAATAATACAAGTACGCCTTTCCCTGTCTAGTGTAGTAAAATCACGATCGAAAGGCGCTTATTTTTATTTCTTTTAATTTTCTTTAATTCTACGGAAAGGTAACTACATAAAATCATTATAGTCTAAGAGCTGGCTACATAAAAAGCCTTATCATCGTTACATGGATAATTTTTTGTGTGAAGTATACTTTTGTGTAGCCATTATGAAATAGTCATGGCTGCCAGCGCGATCCCGGGGCTTAAAGCGGAGGCGGCCAATCGAAAGGGGAATATAAAATAATTGCGAAAATAGCTTTTATTTATTATTAAGAAACGTGGAAAATTGTTGGCAGACATTTTTCTAGTCGCTAAAATGCCGACAGACAACGCGAAAGAGGCATGAAATTTTAAAAATGATTAAAAAATGAAATTTGCAGAATGAAAAAAATTATGGCATATTTGCATGCCGATTGGTGAAATGTCATATTTATTTATTTTAAAAGCCGTATGCAAAAGGGCAGACAAAAAGATCGTGGCTCAATCAGCTGCAGACAGTTATCAAAAGCGCGATATTACTCTAGCGCTTTATTCGGGGAACGCTGGCCGCCTCATCCATTTAAGGATAGATAAATCATATAATATACGAATATATTATAAATATATTTTTTTATTATTTCAATAACGATTTTTTTGTCTGCCCTTTTGCATACGGCTTTTTAAATTAATTAACAATAAACATGATATTCCACCAACCGACATGCATGTATGCGATGATTTTCTTTTGTCAAAATTCTATGCCTCTTTCGCGTTGTCTGCCGGCATTTCAGCCACGAGAAAAATATCTGTTAACAATTTTACACGTTTTTTAATAATAAATAAAAGCTATTTGGCAATTATAACACGTTTACCTTAAAATATTTTTAGTGTCAAAATTTCACCCTTTCAATTGGCCCCCCACCGCTTTAAGCCCCGGAATCGCGGCAGACATGACTATTTCACAATGGCTACACAAAAGAATACTTCACACAAAAAATTAGCCATGTAACGATGATAAGGTTTTATATGTAGCCAGCTCTCGGTCTATTAGATATGTTTCTGGACATCTGAAATCAACTTATAGAATATCGTTAGGGTGACCATTCCTTTTATAATGAAAAAAAACGTCAGTAATCATGGTAATTCGAAAATTCAACTTCTTAGCATATAACACACGATAACTCAAAAACTACTTTGGATATTGAAACTTTCTTTTTTTTATTTTGAAGTTCGGATCTTTGACAAGATGTTTAAATGAGAAAAAAATCCTAGGTCATAATATATACTTACGTGGATGCATAAACGATTAACATTAAAAACGATATCTCCGACGACATGCCATTTTCAAACCTTCTTTATTGCACTTATGAAACGTCCAATAGGTCTGTCTTTTCCCAGGACCATACTTTGCGCCATGCGCATTAAAAGTTGCACGTATTTCCAAATAATCACAATTTTAGACGGTTCAGAAAGTACAAATTTTACATTGTTATGGAAACCAACTTTTCATTGTCATCATGTCATAATCATATGTGATAATTGATAATCTTATTCCCAAGTCGAGGGAGATGGCCGATTCACCATCCGCCGCCCGGAGGAGGGGGAGGCGTTCGGCGTAAAAATCAGCTAAGAACCTGTAAAATAGGCTAATAAACAAGAATAAAGAGGTTTAAACAGAAAACAACCTCTTTTGAACTGCTTTGAACCGCTCTTTAGCTTAAAACAACAGACCTGTTCAAACCCGTTTATTTCTTTTTTAAAGCGGTTGTTTTCTGTTTAAACCTCTTTATTCTTGTTTATTAGCCTATTTTACATGTTCTTAGCTGATTTTTACGCCGAACGCCTCCCCCACCTCCGGGCGGCTGATGGTGAATCGGCCATCTCCCTCTACTTTCCCACTCAGTAACGACGCTTGTTTTTTGCGTTTTTATTATAAAAGTTGTATTAATTACTCTTTTATCGATCACTTTTATACAGGTTGTTAATTTGTTTATTACTCGCGGAAAGTGCTTTATGGTTAAATATGGCAACCTCGGCCCGCTCGTCGATAGACGACGCGACGGGACGAGTCGGCAGAAAACCCTATAAGTGCATGCGTTCTCAATAGGCAGTGTTGCCATTCTGTTCCCCTATAAGTAACTGTCGAGTTAACAACCTGTATAGCCAGGGATGCAAGTGTGTTTAGTGAGAAGTTAATTTTAAGTTTGTGCAATTATATTTCTATTTTTTTCGTTTGACTTTCTAAATACTCGTAAAAATGACTAGAAAGTGTTTGGTGTGTGGAAGTTCTAATATAAAAGTCCCCGAATTATATTTTCATAGGCACGTAAAGTATTCAGTTGTTTTTGTATTTATATTAAGCCACAAAAATACTTTCTGGTTGGATTTCCTAAGAATATTGATATTCGTTTGGAGTGGCTAAATGTATTTTTTATATAATTAAATTTTTTGTGACTGTTAATATTTAATTTATTGTTCAAATATTATGCATTTTACTATTTTACAAATTTAATTTTTAAAATTAATATGCAAATTTGGCGTGTGGACGATAGGTCCTCGACAAGGTTAGATAGACTCAGATAGAGTAGAAGCACCGCGTGTGTAACAAAGAAAGAAGATAAATTAAGTCGTTGATATGCCTGCGACAGTTTCCATAGTGATTTATTTATCTACGTAAGTATATATGAATATATGATCTAGGGTTTAAATATAAAGACAAATAGAATCTGTAATATTAATACAGCACATACCTTGTCCTCTAGCATCAATGTTTGCAATATCTTCTCTGGCTTGGTTGAATTCATTCTGACTAGATCCCTCTCCATCGCCACCCAAGTTTTGCCTGCATATCGGGCAAGTTCCATGAAGCTCCAACCAAGGTCTTATGCAGTTCTCGTGGTATATATGAGTGCATGGCAATTGTCTGGAATATTAACCGACATTTTGATTATAAAATACACTACAATAATTATTAATAAACATCCTAACCTAACTTGTTCCTTTAATTGAAAATGCTCCCAGCATACAGAGCACTGCATATTTTGTCCAACTTGTTCATCGGTCACTTCAACAACTTGCAGAGCATCTATAACAGCCTTTGACAATGGTGGAGGGCCTACATCAAAATATAATACCGTTTAGAACTTCAGATGGCGATTCCTTGTTCACAATAGAGGGCAGTTTATTATACAGGGTTGTTCACCACATATGACACGGAGTATTGTAGCTAAACGATTAGATTTTTACAATTTGCAAGTTTTGGGTTCGTTGAAGGTATATTGTCCAAGGAGAAGGAGAGTGTTCCAAATAAATAAAAAATGTTGTATTTTTTAAACGAAAGACCTTGTATATTATTTTATTTTTAGATTCTACGATTTAAATAAAGGTAAATTTGATTAAGGTTTATCACACTTAAACCTTGCCGTTTTAGAAATATATTCAATTTTGTGAAATTGTAGTAAAAATTTTAATGCTTCATTTCTCAAAGGATATGAAAATTTTTAATGCTAAATATTTACTGAAGTTTATCTATTGATCAGATATTGTGTTGTAATAATAAAAACAATACTACCTTATACAGAGTGCTAAAAAATGAATTTAAATAATTACTAGCTTTAAATGGCAATAACTTGTTTAATTTAAATAGAACACCCCGTATATTTTACCAGAATCAAATGCACAATTTAATTGTCTATCATGTTGTATCATACTAGTTTTTACCTATCTCTTCAAGTTTTCGTAGAAAATGCATTTTTTTATAATTTAGACAAAAAAGGAACAAAATGTACAGGTGCTAAAAACGATAATATTGCAAGCCCATTTGTTTATAAAAATAAAACTATTTAAATCTTTGTAAAAGAGTATATCAATTAAATATACCGCCATTATTTCTGCCCAAAAATTAGTGAATTTGAATCAAAAATGAATAATGTGAATTAGTGGAATTGATAAAAATGAATAATAAATGAAAATGAAAGTTATGAAAATAAACGTGTCTCTGTTGTTATAAATAAGCATTCGTCAAAAAATTAAATAAAATTTATAAGGTGTTACTTTTTATCACACTATCTAATACACATACAAAATTCAGTTTTTTAGTACTTGGAGCAATTATTATTAATCAACGCTAACGGTCAATTAATGTAGTTTAAACAATAGGATCATATATTAATTGGTGTTCTTTAACAAAAAATATTTAAACAGTTTTTTTTTAATTTTTTTAATGAAATAAGCGAATTATATCGGCAATGCTAGTATCTGGTACTCTTTAAAAATTTGTTATGAATCTAAAAATGTCAATATTCCATGGATATATTGATAAATGGGTTCTAAATTATAAGAAAATGCATTCCCTACGAAAACTTCAAAATGATAAATTGTGCATCTGATTCTCGTAAAATATACAGTATACAAAATATTTTTAAATTGTAGCTCTAATAGTCATTTAACAAACCCAAAACTTCGTCAAAAATCTAGAACTTATTATTCTTACCACTACTTACTTACTGATCTGTTTTTCAAAAAAAAAATTGTTTATTTTTTACATTATTTATATTTTAATTGTTTTTCTACTTGGGTTGTTCTTAACCTGTTGAATAATAAACTATTATTTATTTAATTATTTATTATTCCTTTTAACTAAAAAGGGTAGAGTTACCTCTATCCAGAAGGGCGAGTGCAATATGCAATAAAATTATTTTGTTTTCCTACGCCAACGGTAGTCATTATTTTAATATAGAAGACCACAAATATTAAATTAATATTGATTATTACAACACACTACCGTGTATTAACAGAATTTTTGTGTATTGGCAACATTAATAGTAAATAATGTAATGTAATAAACCGCTTAAATTATGACAAAATTGTAGGGTAGGCGCCGCCTACCTTGCCTACCCTGACGGGCTGCCACTGATATTCACGTAAAATGTGATAATATTGCATAATTTAAACTAAAAATTGGCAAAGTAGAAACTACTCTATAAGTTTACTTATTTCGCTGACAAATATTTAACACTGAATTGTAACTTATCTTGGCAATAAAAACAGACAATTACTATTATATTATGAAAAAATTTTTTTCATATGTAAATATTCTGTGTGTAACTCATATTACCTGTACTATCCATTTGATTCAATAACTGAGTGACTATCGCATCGAGGCCTTCTCTGCCCCATGCATAATCTCCTGGATTGCCTAGAAAAAACTGCACATTGCCTTGTCCACCCCAATTCACCCCCACACCCAAATTTATAATAAAATCATGTACTAGATGCTCTATGGGCAAAGAATGTCGTAGATTAGCAGATAGTGGATGAAACGAGCCTCTAAAAATTTAAAAAATATTAAGATCTAGAATTAAAACAGTTTCTTTTGACTTTTTTCATTACCTTCCTTCTGAAGGACCTCCATTCTCAGTTCTATTGTCCATTAAACGATCAGCAAGCAATAATTCTTCCTAAAGGTGAATATGGTTAGTAAACATTTTGTTATAATTTTATTGTATTTTTTATACCATATCTTCATCGTCCCATGTACTATTAGATGAGAAATCTCTTGCCCTCGATTGTTGATCGTCAGTGTCTTGAAGCTCTTCTATAAATCCATCTGCACAGTGTGGGCATATGCAATTCTAAAAAAAATTGAATATGACAAAAACATAATTTGGTATAAAACCATTTGATTTAAAGGAAAACATAGGGTTCGTGATTTTAGATACACTAAATGCATTTAGGCTGGGCATTAGAACACGTATTTGATAACAGAATAACATACTTA